CTAGTCAAGACATCAAAAAACTCTTATTACATAACTTATTATTAGTGATTATTTTTAAGTATTGACAATTATTAACAGAAGGCTGTTGCTGTATTTAACTTTTAAATAGTATTCTAGTAAGTAACTATTTATGTTACTCAATCCCTAAAACGATAATTATGATTAGGTATATTTTTTGGAAAGTAATACACTGAGTGTTATTTGTACAGTTTATGTAGAAGATTATTATATATAATATATATAAACATATTTATTTCTAGAAGGGACAATGGAATACAGATGTCTTTGAATTATATATTTATCACAATAGTATGTAAAACAGATTGTAATATATTTCAGTTTGAACAATATTAATGAAAGTTTCTTTTTCTAATAGGAAAATAAAAATATAATTTATCTCACAATTCGAGTCTGCATATTATAATATATTATAATTGTATTTCRAAATTACAATAAACTTAAAATGTGTTTTTGAAATCAATTACATAATTAGTTATCGTAAATTACATTTAAATAATATTATTAAAACATAATGTGCATAAAATAAATTGTACATATATTTTTTAAATGTATAAAGCAACGTCAAACAAAAATTTAATTGGGATTTTATGTAAAATATAACACTGTACCTATGTTTGTGATATTTACAACGTTTACTTAATTAATACTTAACAAATGTATCTACCAATTAATTAAATTTCAGGATTATAATTAAAAAGGATACACATAATTAAAGCACGTACACCATAATAATAGGTTCTTGGATATTATATAATTCTATTTTATTTTATTTTTATTTCAATTTAAATAAAACTGCACGTTTTATGTTTTATTCGTAAGTATAGTTAGTTATTACTTATTGCTCTCTTTGTACCTACTATATTTATGAATGTTAACTGACTGCTATCCATATTTGCTGAATATATGGAGAAGATCTTACGGATAGCTCCGAGGGCCGAAAAACCTTGAAAATATCCGGGACTGGTAATATCACTTTGACTTGGATATAAATTATCCATAATAATCATTATTATAAATGAACAGTTCCCTACCTCGTTGAATTCGCCTATATATGACCATATSACCATATTACATATAAAAGACCGAAAGTCACACTAAAAGTTAGTAGTTACAATTTACGATCGGTTTGGACATCATTGAAACTGTACGAGAAAGTCTTCATCATGAACTCTTCRTTTTTCGTGAGTGTCGGTTTTGATGAACGATTCCTCAAAATCGTACATACATCATTTTAACTGTTAAAATACTTAACCTATTTCATTTTTTTTCTCTTAGGTAGCTTTGGCATTATTAGTAGCTGTGGTGATAGCAGACAACACAGACAACACCAGAAATAAAAAAGAAGTTATTTACAATCCTTATGGGCAAATCACAGGTAAACATATTWAATTGATGAGAAAAATATATCAATGTATTCACATCTTTCAAAATTAATGGCTAACTTTGTTCATAATATAATTCAATATTATGTACAATGACATATTATATTTTATATTATATACGTATTATATGTAAGATTATATTATTATTAGGCACGTATAGGATTAATCCAATAATAGCATATAGCAAAAACCAAACTCTGTAAAACCGAAAAAGAAAGGCAATAATGTATAGTTATGCACTGTTAGTTTTCTAAAAAGTTATTTGATACAATAATTTCAATTAATTTTAATTTWAAAGCTACGTTTTTTTTATCGTGACCAATGGTACTAAGACCCTAAGAATAATGTAAATATACTTTACGAGTATATAGTATCTCACTATCTTACCATGTTTATATTCCTGTCAATAACTTGTTTTTATTTATGTTTTTCTATATAAATAAATATACGATAAGTTTTTATTAGCTTATCTTAACTGAAACTAAATTTAGAAAAAATAATATTAGTTTCTTAAAACAAAAAAAATTGAGATAAGCAATGTTTAAAAGTACTTAGGTATTTTGAAAAAAATGGCTACAGAAGTATATTATACATTGACATTTAGGCAGGTGTTCATTTAGAAATAATAAGGCGATGAAATAAGAAAATCACAATTTAAGTTAAAAAATATTTTATTTTATTTATTAAAGAATAAACATTCGATTTGAATAAATGCTAAAGCTATAATAGGTATAACATAATAAACATAACACAAAATAAATATTATGTCTTCCGCATAAATTATCTGATAATAGGTATTATAATTTGTATTTTAATAAATGTATTGAGATAATAACGTAAAATTGTGGGGTGGTACRATAGGAGTTTGTTTGTGTATTTGTTTGTAGGTTCTTAAGTTTGTAGGGTTATAACGTGTTTGTGTATGTGTGATAAGGATATGTTGCTAATAATTCTGGGTGATCATCCATCTGGGAGAGCTAGCAACTGCGGCCAGTACGTACGCTAAGTGCGTTTCCGCAGATTGAGCGTACGACCGCGCCTCACCAAGCCACACGATACCAAAATATAATACGTTTTTCTTCGTCATAATGATTATTAGAAAATAACTGCTGAATTCATATATTATTATAAAATTAAACTATACCATCTTGCTTAACGTGAAATGCTAATGTTATTATGTGTAGGTGAAATATACCTATACCGGCTAGTGGCATATTATGTATATTTTATTTTGATATTCATATCCGTCATTTAAATAAAATAACATTTTTTATTAGAAAAGATAAATTATATTAAAATATAATCTTTTTTATGTTTTAATTTCTGTGCGGTTGTTATAATAATTSATCTATCCATAAATTCACAGAACAAATAATACAAAATAATATTAGGTACCTATCTGATTATTATATTATGATTTTGCTAAAAATATACAAATTATTATAAATTTATGAAATTAAATTAAATAAATTTRTTTAAAATAATAAAATTAGGTTAATTAAATTATATAATTGTCTTTGCCACGTATTATTATTGTTTACATCTACTAACCACATAGTATCAACTAAGCGATCCCAAGTTAACTTTCTCTAAGTTATAAACMTATAAATTACATCTATACTAAAACAATGTACCTTTGTCAGTACAATTAACTAATAATTAGTAATAACTCTGAAAATTGTGTACAACTTGGTTTTTAAAAATGTATAAATACATAATTTGAGGAATATTTAGTAGAAACATGTTACATGTAATTTAAATTGATAAATTCAATACACTTAAATTGACAGTTTATATTATATTGTATACAATACAATAATTATATAATACATAGATAGGTAAGTACATAAGTACATAAATATATTATATATAATATGTGTGATGTGTGTTATAAGGTACGCAATAGTGATTTTTAAGAGGCAATTTACCCCTTCTCCCATTGGGACTTGGTTAATTTCTAATAATATGTAAATAATATATATTAAAAATGATAATTTAAGAACATTATTAACGGTTATAAATGTTATAATATTAAAAAAGTTTTGAAATATTGCTTTTGAATGAAACGTAAGTATGATTGAACACTATTTGGCAGTAGAATYGTATAATAATTTTAGTGTTAGTGTACTGAATTCTTCCCCACCCCCMTTACCCCATGCCGTTTCGCTGTATCATAACCGTTATAGAAGTTTGAAGACGTCCCCAACTAAATAGGCACATAGGTACACATAAATTACTCTTTGGTTTTCTTTTTTGGTTTGATTCGAAAGTCTTCAYGTCGTTTCATTTATTTTAATAGGACCGTCACTCTTTTCTGACAATTTAAAATTGCACATGAGGTGAAACGGTATTGAATCCAATAATCTTCTCAGTAAATTTTTATGATACAATAACATTGCGGAAATTCGTTTTATCGTCTACGTCAACGATTGCGCCGATATAGAATAGGTATAGTACGCAGTGGATTCAGTGGAATAATGTCGTTTATCGTTTGAGCCCGTAATAGCGTGACGCGCGGTGAGATGTGTAACACGTACACGTTTCAAAAAATAGATCGGACCATGACAGTTCAATGATCATTAATATTACTAACTGATGGCAATCAACTATAACGGCATCCGTGGGATCAGACCGTGTGGTTAAATAATAAACTGTAAACTGTCTCATGCCAAAACAAAAAATAAACAGWTTTACCTGAAATTACTTTTATACGCTATAAAATCAAAAACTTCATAAAATTGTAAATTTGAATTTACWTTGAAGCGCAAAAATAATCTACACCAACTTATGGATTTTCAACCAAACTCGTTTATGACAATATCGAATTTAAAAATACTGAATGTCRTTTTGTACTACATTCAACACCTAAATAAGGTTAAAATATTTAAATTGACGTTTTCAAAAAGTTTTTTTYRCAGTTTTACGTTATAAACATTGATCGTCCACCGTTTAGAATTTAGGATGCTTATACATTATTATCAAATTATGGGCCAGATGCCTTCAAAGAGCATACTGATCAATATACGTTTTAACGATTCTCGACGTAGTACAAACGTYGAATGACTCGAACGTGATATTTTTGTTTTACAGATGCTAACAAGATTTTAGCTACAACCGGATACAATAATTACAACAACTATCAACAACTGCCGTACAACAACAATTATTATTATCAACCGGCGGCGTATTTGGCGTACAACCACCAATACTACCAACAACAACAGCCGTACCAGCGTGTCGGTGGCTATCCGTACAACGGCGATATCGCAACCGGCCACAACCACCAACAGCACTACAACCAGTACAACAACTACCCGTACAACAGCGGCTACCAGCAGTACAGCGGCTTCCGACAGTACCCGTACAACATCAACCAGCAGTACCCGTACAGCAGCGACCATCAGTACGGCGCTTACCAACAACAGTACCCGTACGGTTACCAAAACGCKTACGGCCACCAACAGTACCCGTTCGGCTACAACAACGCGTACAACTTCAATCAGGTGCTCCGACAGGCGCCAGCTTACCCGAGTACCGGYGCTCAGCCCATCAGCCCGCCGGTACCACATCCGTTCTATCACGTACAAGGGACGTATTACCCGACCACGACCGAAGTTAACAAACCACCTGTGACCGTCGCCACAGTCGATCCGAAAAAAACGTACTAATGAAAACGTCGAAGACCTTACGGACATTATTATAATGGTATCATTATGATAAACTGCTGAACAATGGGAAAAAAATTAAACACATTATGTAAACCACGCCACGATATGATTATAATAATAATTAATATGCATTTACAAAAATAAATACATCACTTACAAAACAAAACCTAATGCAACGTGATTATTTAAAATTTATTTATTTTTTAATAAACTTAAAACATAGTAACATAATTATATTATAATTTATTTATAACGTTTGTTTTTAACATCAGACCCATCAATCACTCCCGTTCATAACAATTTGAGCCATTTTAAATAATAGGTCAAGTAATCCAATACAAATCTTAACTAAACAATAATCCTTGTATCCCAATGGACTATGTCGCAGAGGGTAAATTTTATTAATAATAATAATAAAAAAAAATCTTAACTATACCTAAAAAATAAATTGTATTAAATGCCCACGTAATAAAGTATGTAAATAGTATAGGCAAATATGTTAAATATATTATGTTTTGAGTAGGGATTAACGAGCTTTATATTTTATATACCTAATACAGTCAAAATATTTAACTTTAAACAAACTAAATGCATGATAAATACAAAAATAAACTGAATATAATTATTTATAAACTATAATATAAAAATGTACCGATCATTTTGAGGTTTAAATATTTTTGTCGTTCAATATAATAATATTGTTCTTTCCATACGAAGTGTTCTGTGGACGTTCGAAGTTCAAGTTTTGTAGAATGGTTAAATAAGATTTGTATCTACCTAAATGTCATAGGTAAGGAATATATATTTAAAACACGTAATTCAATAATTCTGATTAAAAATTTGATTGCGAATTTGATTAATTTTTTTCTWTTATAAAAAGTTACCTTTCACTTTTTAAGGTTTCTCAATTAATTKTATTTTACTTTCATCGGGGACTTCTTCATCAAAAGGTTCACTCATTTCGGCTAACCTATGATCTTCTACATCATCTTCAATTTCTTGGTGAAACGGTTTTTCGGTCTCAATTTCWACGTCTTCGTTCTCAAGATTTTCGGCCACAGCGTAGTTATTACTTGGTGTAATCAATTTCATCGGAATTTGTGACCCGTAATAATAGTTCATGGCGGTAGGCATAGGAGCATAATATAATAATCGTTTATGATGCGGTTTTTTCGGATGGTGACAGTGTTCTTTTTTCGGTTTTTTTTTTGGTTTTTTTGGTTTTTTCGGCTTATGTTTTTTATGAACTTTAGGGTCACATGGTTTACATGGTTTGTGTTTTGGCATCGAAGGCTGGTGAGGTTTATGCGGATACATTGGTTTTTGTGGATGTAGTGGCTTATGTGGAATATGTGGCTTGTGTGGATGTGGTGATGGTTTATGTGGATGTGTTGGTTTATGGGGATGGTGGTGGTGGCGAGGTATCCAATGGACRGGCACTTGACGGGCGATTAATATAGGATGGTGCCGATTTCTGACAATTATACTCAAATCTCTCATAGGTCGTATGATTCTCATGGGAGAACGGCCTTGTTGATCACTTATTGGATCCAATGCTTTATTACGTTCTTTTGGTTTCAATGTCATTATGGACACCTCTTTTACTTTTTTCACCTGCTCAAAGTCTTCATTACCATCTTCGGGATCTTCAATTTTTTCGGGTTCATTAAGTCTTTCTAATGAATCCATGTCTTTTTGTTCATTTAGCTGTTCTGGTTTTTCTGGTTCTCCGTAATCGTCAACTTCAGGTTCATGAATTTGTTTTGCCATTGAACTTGTAGGCATCCATTCATCAGATACCTCAGTTTTAAATTCATCTGGAGAATCTACTTCTGGCCCTTGAAGTCCATAACTTCGAGAGCTGAAATCGTCTTGAGCGTCAATTGATTTTGTAGGTAACTTCCTGTTTGTATTATTGTGTTTAGTGTGCTCGTCATTTAATCTTCGACCGCAGGCTAGTGCCAATAACCAGAATAAAGMCAACTGAAAAACATGTCAACGTGATATTTATGATWGATATATCTAATAAGTAGGTAAACATTAAAGAGTGTTACAAATAATCCCACAAAGATTAAAACAGAATAAGTGTTATTATATGATGTTGTTGAAAAACAATTTGTAATATTTTTGCAAATACCAAGTATGTAGTTAACTAAAAAAATGCACTGTTTTTTTTGATTTAAAAATGAATTGTGAAATATTTAAAATTTTAGGTATGGAAAATTTTTGAAGAATAAAAATGTTTGGCAAAATTAAATTATATAAAAATAATAATTAACTAAAAAAACTATTGCTAGTGTAATATATTAAATGGATCAGTTTATATATTATAATGGTAACAGTTGTTAGAATTCAATAGATTGATATCAATTATTCGATTATTCGATTTTATTAATAATCTAAAACATTTATACTTATATCGATTTTAGAGAATTATAAGAAAAAAATGTATTTTCTTTTAAATTGTAGTACCTACCTATTTGCATTTAATGTATTTCTATTTTCGTAATGGTTAGAAATGTAAAATGAATACGTATTATAAATCTATGATTCTATTTTCCATTCATTAAACAAAATTCAATTTTACTATTAAAATAAATCCGTGAAAACTGTATGCATTAAAATTTACGATCAGCAATTATAATAACAATACATTATGACAGGTAGAAAGATTTTTTTTTTAGATGAATAATATATACCTTGAATTTATTTTCCGTTAGTGTATCATAATGGCATATTGATAACACATACTAAATGTAAATAATTGTTTTGTAACTTACCAATCGTTTTGTATCCATCGTTAAGCGTGGTATTCATGACGACAATTCGATTTCAGCTCGGATGTACATGATGCTTTTGACACAAACACCGTTTGTAAACTGTCATTTTGAACAACGAATTAATCCTCAACATATGCGGGTTGTATTCCACCTCTACCGTATGAAATGAACCATATCACACTAATTGTTTTGGTTTTCGGTTTTGCTTTGTTTTTACACACGTATTTCCCAATATTATGTCACGTTATCGGTCGCTCGGTATCGTGACTACGACGTTTTGGTTGTTTTTACTCTTGTGTTGGAAAAAAATCAATAACAAGTGATGTAACTCAGTAGCACTGGTAATCGGAACGAAATGGCGATCGTTTTAACTACAGGAAGTTGTGAAATCGTTCACTGGACGATGGTGTGAAAATAAGGGCACATTTACGGTGGAGAATCATTTACCAGAATATAGTAGGTACTAGGCGCCTAGTTTTAGGTCACGGTCAACAGTGGATATTCTCTTGGGTAATATGRCTGGTTAACTGTGAAAACGAGAGTCTTTAAAGAAAACTGAAATCAATGCGAGTGATATTAGTAATTACAGAACACCAATTAATATTTAATAGTGGGTAAAAATAGATGTCTTAATAGAAACGAACATTTTGAATTTTGACCACATTATTTTTATTGTGACGACAAAAATGACATGAACGTTGAACAAACACACTTTATGTAKTTATACGTAAAGCTTTTTTTCTTATCGAATCCATTTACGCAATGAATACTACCACTCCTTCTTAMAACATGCTTATAAATATAGGGCACTCGATTYGATTGTTAAATATATATTTAAAAGGGAATAAAAACCATGACAACTTTAAGCTTCTAAAACTTTTTTTTCTATCATAAATGCATATTATACGAATTGAAGAAAACAAAAATAAATGTGTTTGAAAAGTATTAAAAACAAATTTTTAATATTTAACTTATTTTTAATGTATAATAGGAATTCACACACAACTCTAAAAACCCTAAAACTTTTTTTATAAAAAAATTAAAACATCATGATGATTATATGTACCTATATATGAAACATATTTTTTACATAATATTCTTATTATGTATTCATATGTATGTATATGTCTGAATATATGTATATATTTATAGTGATTATATATTAATTCAAAGCAAATAAAATAATCAATATAATAATATTGATGAGTTAACAACTTTCTTTAAATTGTAAAATKTAATTTATTTATTTAATTAATTTTATTTATATGACTGTCATGGAAAAATCACGATACTACAAAATCAAAAAATGTTCAGGAGTGATAAAAAACTAAATAATTTGTTATAGAAACATACGTGTTTGGTATCACAAAACCTTCAATTTTAGCAGGAAAAAATCATAWAAATAGAATCACWACCATAAAAAAAGTGATTGATAAAATTATAATCTAGTGGTATCAAAATATAATTTTCGAAAAAAATTTAGTTAAATGGTATGGTGGCAAACGCTATATTCTACTAATTTTTAAAATTTTAATATTTTGAATAATATTTAAATGTTTGCAATTTCTTATGAATCCAATATTGTATTATCTATTTATGTATAATATTCTATTAATTATATCTAATGTACYTGTTACATTTAAACTTACACTTTAATAGCTTTATTTAGTTTAGGACTTTAGGTTAACACTATCATAAACAGTACCTAGTAGAGTACCTATCAACAATATACCTACATCAGGCCATTTTTAATTTAAGTGATTGGCCCTGGGTTTTAAGTTCATACTTCAAACATAATTCATCTTTTAAAATTAAATCGATWAGTGTTGTATTTAAGTTGAATATTATGTATGCCATTTGTCATTGATTCATTTTATTTTATAAACTAACACTTATTTAAATCGGTGAATTTTTTATAGTTAAAGTATTATAATATTTTACATGCATTTGATATACATATTATGCATAATATATAGTGTATTCACAAATCATTCATATTTCATATTATTTAGTATTTAGTATTTGTATTATAATTCTATAATATATTATGTAATTTTTTTTTAACAATTAAAAATGACCATATGACCATATCATTTCAAAAAAATAATTWATCGCATCATTACTAATTAACACGAAAATAATACATGATTATAATCTATTAATATCAATGTATCACGTTAACACTTCTATTCAGTATAATAAATAATAATTCAAGACCACACAATACTTCAAAATTGATTTTATTTCATAATAATTATTATAGAGCTGGGTGAAAGACATTTTCATATCTTTACGACACCAATCTCATTAACATTTGTGGTGATTTATTATTATTGGCTAACCTGCAAATATTTGTGGTTTAATTCAAATGTGTGCTAGTTTAAGATAGGGTTACTGTGGTGTTCACGTCCGTGAGATCAGAATGCTTTACATGCCTCATTTATTTAGTTTCCGGTATGAAAAAAATTAAATTCACAAATGGTATTCTAACAATATTTAATCAATATTATCGTCCTTGTTCACGATACATTAGTAAATATAGATTCTTTGCATATAGAGAGATTCGCACATATTGTTCGAGTATTAGGAATACATTTCAAACAAATAAAAACAATTATTCGTTACCTATATCTTGTTAGTAGGAAATAAAAATAGTAATCATAATCAGAAATAATAGTTCAGTGTAAATTAGTTTTAAATATTTCGTCCAACATTTAAAAAATAYACTGGTATAATATTATATACATCATGTCGTAATATTATTATATTAATAATATAACTTTATAGAATACATTATTTCTGTCTTATTAATTCTATAATACAAATACCAATTATGGATATATATATTATATATATTATGGGAAAACTGGTATTTTTACGAAAAACTAGTTATCGAAAAAATGGACTGTGTCTACAAAATTTGATATATTTACATTAAATAATAAATTAATGATTCTATTTACTATTTTAGTCTAAACATTCAAAAAAAAAAAAATAACTACTTTATAATATATTTACTTAAAGAGATTTTCTTAAATATAATTTATAATATAAAATATAATTTATGTTTTGGATTGAATTTAATAAATCTGCAATCAAACTTTTTTTTTTTTTATTGGGGGTTGTGAACGCGTACCTATATTATATAAATTGATGTCGTTATTACTATTATTATTATTTTTATCTATATGGCTACATTATCTTATTTCCGTCGATATCGGCGTGATCGATGTTAAATTATTTTTCGTAATTTAGTGTGTGTTTGACCGTGTGTCCATATTTGTGTTCTATATTTAATATTTATATTTAATATTTATATTCTATATCTATATACACAACTTTATTTAAAATTTATAAAATTTATTTTCTTCGCAGTACTTTTCTTCTTTTTTCGTTTGTGTGTAAGTAATACGCTAACACTTGCAAACAAATCTGGTTACAATAATATGTATTTTTATAGAGTTTTTGGATGCATCGTTGAAGTAAAATAAAAATACATTATTATAAAACCAATACCTTAATCGTTCTTCCCAGAATTTAATACGTAACTGATTTAATTTCTCCAGGAAATGTTTGGATGTGTATTATTCTATTTTTCATACGTAGACAATTTTTTTAAAATACCCTAACATTATCATCACAAACTGAGCCAAGTGTTTTTGGATTTGAATATTTAAATTAAGAAGTAATAGTTGTATAATATATGTTGTATGTTGCATATTATAAATAAATCTATTATATCAGATTGTATAATAATTTTAGGTTTAAAAAATATTTGAATAAAACAAATACATTTATTACTTATTAGTTATTCAAATATATCATGTCTATTAATCAAATAAGTTTACCATCCTTTATGCATTTTATAAATGTAATAGTAATCTCGTATATTGCATGAGAAATAAACATGAACAATAAATAATAATATTACTTATACCTTAATAMATGTATACATAATATATACCTACCATATAATATAAGTATAGACCAATAAYTTAAAACTAAGTAAAWTCTACCAGTAATGTAAATTACACAATAAAMAAATTAAAATTGGCAATAAAGAAAAAAAATAAGTGAAGTAGCACACATAAAAGCAAAATAATTTTTTCCAAGGGATGGAATATAATGACGGATTAAATTTKAACGACTTAAAATTCAGATTAATTGAATGATTKAGATTATAGTGAATTTATTAACACATAATATCATAATTTAGGTATGTTTTTTTAAATGAAAAATTAATATCACACATAATTAGAAGTAAAAATAGCTACTTAATTTACAGACTAATATGATTATATTTTAAACATAATATGTGACATATCAAATTAATATATTAGAAATAATAAGTGTTTATGAGACAATTCATTATACATTTTTAAAGTTCTATAGTATCCTAGAGGTACAGTTTTTAAATACTACTGTCAAGCACCTATGAATACGATTAAAGTTAAATACAAATATGATTTGTTATAAAGACATAATATTATACAACGTAGAAATTTAAGAAAAAGTAATTAGAAATGACAGCTTAGAAAAATATTAAAATATTTTGATTTGCAACAAGCCGATTTAAATAAAAAAAAAAATACATACCTGTCGCGGATGGTTAGGTTGACGCATTTTGAATGATACTCTATTCCCTATATTTTATAATATAAACTTAAATAATAAAAGTGTTAAGTATATATAAATAATATAAATAAAGGTTGTAAAATATAGGCACGTATAGAATTTCTATGTCTAAATGATGATCTTAAACTTGACTCAAGTCTGTGTGGCTTATGATATTGTTTTGGAATCGTCAGTCGGTGCCACATCTGGCGTATAAATAATTAACAAAGAAAATCAAACGACGCAGTCTCGTGAATAAAAAATCAATCCGGAAAACATGTTCCGGTATACTCGAAATCGTGACCACACAATGATAACAACAATGACGATAAAAATATGCTGTGTAAAATATTATTACCGTATATTTGGGTCTTGAAAACCTTACTCGGATGAACGAGAACGATCAATCGAATTGGCCAACGAACCGYTTCGGGCGCATCAAACGGCATTGGGATCGTACAGTAACAAACACACCAGACACACTAAGCCRACCTTGGGCGCGTTTTCACCGAGCCTGTGTCGAAGGCATTTCCGGCCTTAGTGTCAGATAAATATCCATCAATCTGGAGGATTTCAATCAAGTCACCACAATGATGTTCCAGTGGATCGCAGTTCTTCTGATCGTCGGATCCAGCGCGTCAACCGCGTTCATACAGTCTACTAACCAGCAATCCAACTATCAATCGCAATCTAGTTACAGTAGCAGTTCGTCACGTGAGTTTTGGATATTTCTGAACAATTTTTAAGTCCAGTCATGTATATTTGTTATTATTTACACCTACGTACCGAATTTGATCTTCGAGTCATTCTCATTGTTGGCAAATTTGTTTGCTCCATTAGCTATTGTCGAGCGCTTTTATTTCAATTAACACCCCCCCCCCTCCCCCAATTCCATCCCTCTAGTAAAGAATTAATATAATTCTTGCGTGACTGATTATAATCCACTTAAGTTAAGCTCGTCAAATATTCATTAAATTTCCATAAAAACCCTTAATCTTCGGTAAAACGAAAAAAATACCGAATAAGATAACTATATAATAAGAATATTATGYTAATAAATGACGTTTCAATCAAGGTTTTAGATTTATTATACACTTTAATACCAAAATATTCACATACTCAACTATGGTTTTACCTATCAAATAAATAATAATTTTAATTTTATAAATTAATTATCTACGTGGTTTTCATTGATATAGATTTATGTAATTGTGATATACTAACTGTGAGTAAAGCTAGTA